AGGCCGATGTGGAGCTTCTTGAGGAGATCAAAGCGTTACTGCATGTCTACAAATCAGCAATTGATTCTAACCTTCTCAAGGGGAAATTCTATAGACTTTGGGACCCTTTTGACATGCACTCGACACAGGCAAGTTATTGGAGTCTCTAGCTCTTGCTGGATGTGCGTTGGCATAGGTATTCGGTGCGGAGGCAACAGCTTGGATGGAAGTAGCATGTGACAGATCTAGGGCTATCGTTATGGTGTGCATGTTACATCTGAAGGAGGTCGGAAACGAAACTCTTATTATGGATGGTCGTATCGGCCTATGTGAGATTCTCCTATCAGGTTGGTAAGATCATCCCAAGGCTTCAATTGAAGGGTCTATCAGAGGATACCCTATATGACATAATAGATCTCGCACCGAGCTCGTAGGTATTCCTTTGATCCTTCTCATTATCAATGATGCCTCTACAGATATGTCCGTAACCCACAGACTCTACAAGTTGTGTGTAATCCCGTACCGGTGTCCAAGTTCAGTGGTCTACAACTTAGAGGTGTAACTCTCATGAAGGCTGGCTTACCACTCCAATTCCTATTCGATGGGGATTGTAGTCTATTCGAGATTAGGAGTGCTGACTTGGGCCCCCGAGCGGGACCAGCTCGCAGCTTCGACTTCACTAACCTCCACTGAGTAGTGTGATCGCCTCAAGTGGCTGCATAGCTCTTGCCGGCCCTTTCTGCTGTTACCTCAAACGTTGCCTGCTCCAAGCTCATTGCTGTTTCTGCTGGCCTTGAGGCCAACCTAACTTATCATGACTAAGTGTGGATTTCTCACCCGTTCATCAGTATGTCTTTTCAGCACTTGCAAGCCGGGTTGTTAATTCGTGGAGACGGCTTAGCCATATCCGCTTGGAGTGCCTTCCGGTGGCGATTTGTTCAACTCCTGGTGTGGTGAGTCACGTTCTGGAGGACCATCAGGTCCGCCGTTACTTGGGCATTGTGCTGCTCTTAGCCACGCAGTATGCGGGAGAGGTTCGTCACCTACTTTTACTCTCCGCTAATTTTACTGTCGTATAATACGAGCCGCATCGCATTCGGAAATACTAATGCGGCATTAGTAATGTCTGGTCACCTTGTGCTCATTAATACTCATGTCCGACGACATTGTGTTCACCAGTATCCATGTCGTACCGCCACGCATCCATCCGTGTGCATGTCCGACCACTGTGTGACCATCTGTGCATGTCCGACTACTGTTTGACCATCTGTGCATAGGTCCGACCACTGTGTGACCATCTGTGCATAGGTGCGACCACTGTGTGACCATCTGTGCATAGGTCCGACCACTGTGTGACCATCTGTGCATAGGTCCGACCACTGTGTGACCATCTGTGCATAGGTCCGACCACTGTGTGACCATCTGTGCATGGGTCCGACCACTGTGTGACCATCTGTGCATAGGTCCGACCACTGTGTGACCATCTGTGCATAGGTCCGACCACTGTGTGACCATCTGTGCATAGGTCCGACCACTGCGTGACCATCTGCGCATAAGTGAAGGAGTGGACTGCATAATCTTCAGCCTTCCTAACTCTAAGGCAGCTGGTATAGATGATCTACCTATCGAACTCTTAAAAATATCAGCGGCGGAAAGGTAGAGAGATTAACGATTGGATTATTCAGCAATTTTGGCAAGGGAACGGAATACCTTCAGACTAGAAAACGGGAAAACTAGTGATGTAATATAAAAAGGGGAGTACTAGAGATCTTGCCAACTTTCGACCAATAAGCCTATTGTATCATTGTTATAAAGCTCCTCGCACTATTCTATTGAGACGGATCCAAAGTTCAATCGGTAAACGCCTCTTAGCTATGCAACAAGGTTTCCGTCCCGGTAGGAGCTGCAGAGACAATATATTCATATTGAGATCTATCATTTCAGACGTACTTT